AAATCCGGACAATTGTAAAACCAGTTGTTGCAAAAGGGGAAGTAGAATGGTCCCTTGACCAACGGACCTGGTTTCAAAACGAGATTTCATCTCATTCGATTGATTTCTTGGTGGGTCATTTTGGCTGATTAATCCATTTTAAGGAAATCGATATTTATCGAGTTTTGTTCGTTATTTCGTTATTTATCAACATTGAAATCGATATTTATCGATTTATAAAAGAAAATTGATGCTTGTCAAGCTATGATAATCGTTAATTTTAAAATTTTAGTGTGTCGATTTTGGGATATCGATATTTGTTATGCAAATTTGTTTCAATCAAAATATTAAATGACGTTACACATTCTCTGTAATAGCTAATACAACCCTCGGCGAGGGCATATAAACTAACGTAATTGCAAAAAGATTTGCGTATGCATTTTGAGTTTAATTATAATAATTATTGTCCTGGGACTAATGCCTCACAATGTAAATTGTGCTCAAGGGCGGCTGCATTTGCTGCTTACAAGATGAAATTTCCGTTGTGCTTTATCTCGATGCGCTTTGCCGTCTGCCTGTCCCAACCAGACCAGAACCAGACCAGGAACCGCTCACTTTCCCCCACCACGGCAGGCGACTTAATTGAGAAAGAGATTTGATTAATTTGCATGCCATAAACAATTTTCAATTTGTTTATGTGCTCAAAGTGAAGCCTGGCTCGTAATTAAAGCAAAGCTGCTGCAGCTCCGGCAACGCAAACTCAGCAGCCAACCCAGACGGTCGCCTCGCTCGCCCCTCGAACCCTCGAGCACCCGATTCGTCCGTCGCCCGTAATCATGCAAATGAATTTTGCACTGTGGCACAGAAAAAAATAAAAAGTAGAAAAGGAAATGTCGCCAAGGTAAGCAGATTAAAACGCCTTTGACTTGGCAATGTGCAGCAATCTAGACGCTCATCTAGTCTTTGCATGCAAATGAATGCGCGTTGCATGCAACAGCAGCCACAGCAGCAACGAGTGTTGTCTGAATGTGTGCGTGTGTGTGGTAAATACATGTTTACCCAATGTATTCATGTGCAAACAATTACGCGTTCATTTTTGCGACTTTTGAGTGGCACACACACACACCCACACACCCACACACACACACACATGCACACTTTGACAACAATGGCCGCCGCGTCAGCGACAATGGCAGCTAAAATGGCGGCAGCGACTGCTTTGAAGTTGATGAAACGTTTGCCCACGATTGCTGCCAACTGCTTTTGGCTTTGTTTTGTTCCATTTGGCTGGGTTCAGCTTGGTTTGGTTCTGTTGTGATTACGTTTTGTATATTCATATGCATAATATCCTTGACCCGTTTGCGTGTCTTGCGCTTTTGTGCGTGCCAGGAAGTGAAACTGGCAAAGGCCTAGCCATTGGAAGGCAGTGCGTGCCTGCAGCCGGGCCTCACTTCTCGCATATTTTACATAAAACACGCGCACACACACGCATACAGACACAGGCCATATGCCCATTAGATATGCAAACAATCCATGCAGTTAACGACGTGCACATAAATATTGAGAAATCTTAAAGCTCGCCTGATCCCAAGCACAACACAGCACAACAAAATATAGCCAAACAAAACAGAAGCATTCCTTATAACCAAAGACACGATGAGATGGCGGATTAAACGCTCTCAAAGCAGAACCAAAGTAATGAAAGTTGAAACTGGCATGAAAAAGGCAAAATATAAAACATAGTGTCAGGCCAGGCCATGAACTTATGCTGACTTTAATTAAAATCGAGCATTTATGTAATTAAATGTCTGCTTTCTTAGACTCTCCTTTTATTAGGAAGCCCAACAAATTCTAATTAAAGAGCGTCGTAAAGCTCAAGAAGCACATCGTGGACACAAATTTAAGTTGACTCAAGGCGTGTTTTTTAATATTAAAAATATTAATTGCTTCTTTTCAATAAGAGGCAAACTTTTCTCAGGCTTTAACTAGTTGCGAATTATAATGCATCAATCAATAAAAATGCTTAAAGTGCACAAAACCAAAGTCCACTTTGGACTTCGACCTGTTCAACTAAACGTCAGCCAACTATAATTACTCTTTTTAAATAAATATCAGATTATTTTTAGTGGAAAATAAAGATACAAATCTTATTTGACTAATAAACCCACCATCAAATTGAACGACAATTTGAAGATACTAAGTATTACGAATTTCTTATCCCAAGTACCATATAAATAAGAAACATTCATATTTTTATATTTTAAACAATTCCAATCTAGGAAGAGCATTTAAAATTTGACCCAATTTCAAAATGCATGATCTATTTGAATGGATGATTTTGGATTTGTTGAGGCATGGTATGGGTTGCAACTGTATAAGGCCATAAACAATTTACGGTCTGTTTGCTTAGCCTTCTGTTGCCAGTTTCAAGTTCATTGGCTAACCAAAGTGAAAGATGGAGCTCGGTCTATGCCTTCTAAGTGGCAGCAATGTGGGAACAGTTCGTTAAGTTTTGTTGATTTGCCTGGCAATAAAATTGGTCACACCCACACAGCTGAGCATGGTGTAAGTGGGAGTCGTGTCATCGACACGCTGAGGTGAAAGACAAACAACTTGATGCCAAGTTGTTAACAAAGTGCTGCCACGACCTAAACGACCTCCTCCGACAAGGACCTTCGGCAGCTTCTGCCTGTCTATGCAAAACGCAAACAGAGCCAGCGACTCCTTGCAGAAATATGCTGTTGGCTACCTTGACAAGACAATTGACTGGAAAATGTTGTTAATGAACTTTGTGCGACATTTTGATTAGCTGTCAGTTGTTGGCTGCAGGGCTGGTAATGTCTGACCCTCCCCTCTTGCACTCCGATAGCTACTCTAGTGATCCTGTCGTGTCTGTCCCATTTAGGGTCAACAAGTGTCGAGCGCAGCAATGATGGATGTCAAAGTTGTTCGGTCGCCAAGCAACTTGACACACATTTTTTATTGTGTCTTTGCTTCTACAATGCTATTTTGTCACACTGTGATAAAACACTGAAATAATAGTAGCAACAACAATAGCAACAGCCAAATGGAACAATAAAAGCAACAAAAATGACCGGCTGCAAAAAAAGTTTTTTGCGGAAAAGTTGTAAACTTAATTTATAGTTTTTAAGCAGCCGCCGGTTGGAGTTGTCCTCTGGGTTGGGGGCGCAGCTAGAAAAATGTGTTTTGCTGCTATCGTTTGGGTGTTGCTGTAGGCGTGTCACCCACACACACACACACACCGCACACATACACACACACGCTCTCTTGCCTATATATATGAGTGTGTTCCTCTATCTATGTATTTGTAAATATTCACATTTCATTCTCGCCTTAGTGCCTGGAATTTCCAAATGAAATATTTGACTTTTAGTCTAAAAAGTCAGCAAAAAGTTGCGCAAACAGACTGTGACGTTGCCGCCCATCCACCTCTCCTCTACCTACCCACCATTTTGCCACCATCTTGCACCCCTACTTACCCTACCCCTGCCCGAGAGGCCCAAAATGTGCATTAAGTTAAGAGTATGCGTCGCTTTAAGCGCCAAATTCGCACATCAGCATTCGCTACCCAATTCGCGTCTGCTGTATATTGGGAGGCCATAGCTCCGTAGTTGGTTTCCGTCTCAAACGCTGGTAATCTATTAAAAATCTTTTCGTCAGTGCTACTCTTCCTGCCGCAGCCCTGGCCACTGCCTGCGTTGAGGTTCTTGGCGCTCAAGTACTGACTATAATGATGTGTGCGCAGCGTTGCATTGCAATAATAAACTGCGTCTGTATTTGGGACACTGATCGCCTCGTCTACTCCTATCTTCTTATTTTACTCCATCTTTCGCACATCAATCAACGATAATTTAAAGACTTGTCGATCGCTCAGATAATCCCTAATGCGTCAAAAAGTTTTTCTTTAGCCAATATTTTCATAAACATACATGATATATATTAGACAGTGACCAGGTCTGAATCTCAAAAGTAATAGCTTTATTTATATATTCACATATATGCTATTATGTACTTAGAGAGAGAAAGAAAGAGGGAGAGAGAGAGGCGGGAAAGGGAATGATTGAAACCTAAAAGGTATATCCTTAACTGAACACATACAATCAAAGCATGTAAATCTGTAAGTCTTACTTAAATTCATGAGAATTTGCAGGGCAGCCAGAAGAAAACTTGGTCTGCGTTTGGTATACCCATACACCTGTGCATATGTATGTATGCATGCAATGCATAAAAAAAAACATACGTATAAATTGACGCTAGGAGTCAGCTTGTTTGTCATCGTTGCATTTCAGCTTGTTTGTAATCGTTTTCAGATTGATGGTACACGTACATTCTAATCAATATCTGTGAAGTTTGCATTAAAATATTTTACTGAAGAGAGCATTTGCTGTTGTTTTTATACCCTGAACCCATTGAAAATGGGTGAAAAGGGTATTATGTGTTTGTGCAAATGTATGTAAATAGGCAGAAGGAATCATCTCCTACCCCATAAAGTATATATGTTCTTGATCAGCATCAACAGCCGAGTCGATCTAGCCATGTACGTCTGTCGGTCTGTCGGTCCGTTTGTCCGTCCGTCCGTCTGTCCGTCCGTCTGTCCGTATGTATGAACGCAAAGATCTCAGAAGTTTGTTTCCGATATTCGATAACTTGCCCCGTTTCCAAGTAATCGATAAAAATCGATATCGAAATCCTGTTTTTGAGCAATTTCGGCAAATAATATGAGCTAGAGTTACCAAACTTGACATGTAGCTTCTAGAATAGAATATATATATGAAGTATCTTTTATTTTATACCTATCGCCTGTTGGAAAAGAGGTTTCAGGGTATCCCCTAGTCGGAAGCTCCCGACTAGAACCTCTTACTTGTTTTATTTGCGATTTCCATAGCTAAATAGTAAGAAGAGGTATTCGAAAATCTATGCTCTTAGTTTTGAATTTCATTTAGGTTTCACATATCTAAAAATTTTTTACTAAAACAAACAAAACAAAACAAAACAAAAAATAAATAAAAAAAAAAAAAACAACAATCGCTGAACAAAATGATGGGAGATGCAGTGCGGCAGGGTGAGGTGAGCAGAGCGGTTTGTCCGCTGGGCGACTGCCAGGCTCTGCTGGGACAGTCCGAGTTGCTGCGCCACCTGTTCAGCGAGCACCTAGTGGAAACGCCTACGAAGGCGGCTAATTTTGGGCTGCGCATGCGCAAGGTGCGAACTGGGGAGTGCACCTTGCTGCTGATGGTGCATCAGCAGCTGGTTGCTGGCCACGATCATTGCCTGGGAGTGTTAAACTGGACGGGTGATGGCAGTCGAAACCTGTCGCCGCCCCAGCTCAATCTGCCGCTGTGCCATCGATCATTGTGCAGCTGTTTGCCAGTGTTGGTAATGGTCTGCAAGACCACATGGCCGGGACTGCTCTTGAATTCCGAACAGTTTGATAATGATGGCTCCAGCATGGGCTATCTGTATGTGTTCTGGCTTGTGGCACCCGCGACACAGCGCCCCGTCTGCGCCACGCTGGGCTTCCTCAACCGGGAGCTGCAATGTGGGCTGCGCGTTTGTCGCCAGCTGCGCAATTTTGCCACCCGCATGCACATCAATCAGTTCCTGCTGGGCGCGGATAGGCACTATCTGACGTTGAGCGAGAGTCAGATGGATCAGATGTGCAGCCCCAACGAGGGTGGTTCCTTTCTCGAGGTGGTCATTGTAGACGGCGGCTATTAGCCAGAATTGAAATGAAATGGAACGAACGAAACCTGGAAAACTTTTGCTTTGCACGCATTTGAATATTTGTAAATTTATGCAAATTACATTTGATTATAAAAGATGAAAACAACAAAAAACAAGAAAAAAAGAAATGTAATCAGCAAGTTTCATTTGATTTTGGCTTGGCTTTGGATGTCGTGATGGCCGTGTGGGGAGGGGTCGTTGGGGGCGGCACTTGTCAGCTGGGCTCACATAATGAGCCAAAACTTTTCCGCTTAGTGCAGTTTACGGCGCTTAGTTCTGTTAATAAGCCAAAATCAATTTGGAGTTGACTTGAGCTCAGTTCCGGTCGCTTCTTCTTATTTAGTTTTCCACGCTTTTTTTTTTCGTTTCCATTTTTATTTTTTAAGCACGAATTTTGCAAGTTTATTGCCACGTTTGTGAGGCGCGCGCATTATTGATTTCGGTTGGCACTTTATTGCCATTTGCCTCGTTGCGCCATTTTGACCCGTTGCCCCTTTTTGGGCTCGGGCCGAGGCCCATTTTATGAGCGCAACAGACGATGGCACGGCGTGAAGCTGGAAATGTGCCATAAATTACGGTGTTTTATGTCTTGGCAGACAGTCAGACAAACATACGAACATACACACACAGATCAAATCAGATCTGATTTCCAAACAGAATATAAGTGATTTCCCAATACTGGTTGTTATGCAGGGATTTTAGCTGTTCAATGTTGTGCCTAAGTGCAAGCTGGCTCGAGAGCGTGTTTAATATATTCGTTTTTCAATGTATTCCCATTTTTATTGCCGTGACTAGTTAAAAAGAATTGGTGAACTAGTTCTTTTAAAACAGAAGCGTTCTTTTTTAAATGGTTTGAACGGAACGGCGAACTTGTTCATTTGAATTGGTTTCGCTACTCAAATTCTGCAGACTGGAACCATTCATATTGAATTGCATCTATTCAAAAGAGCTGGTTCATCATCTCGTTAAGTACGAAACCAGTCCGCATCATTCCCAATTAGTAAGCGGTTCTGAGAAACTAACTATCTTAAATGAATATGTTTAAATAGTTGATAAAAACAGAAACAGCTTTTATTAGTGACATTCCCTCAGGGTATTTTTTGAATTGGCTCGATGTATCGGATCAGATTTCCCTACTGACAAGCTCACAAGCCAAGCACCTCAATAAGCCAAACACACTTTACCCACCTACTGAACCGCCAAGCCTGCGTTTGTGCCTAGTGGACCACAACCACTCAGAGAACAACAAAAGCAGATGCGACATCAGCGTTGACAGCGATTCTCATATTCGCTACTTGAAATACTAATATAACAAGGCGACATGTTTACGATGCATTTGTATATGTATACACATTCACATCCGCATCCGCTACTTTTACTGCATAGTTTTATGTGAATGCCTGTTGGCATGTTCCCATTGAGCAGAAATCACAAAAAACCCTGGCTCGCTATCCATTTATATCCCCTAGGCCTTTTGTTGGCCCAAATGTATGTGTCGGTGCGTGCTCCAAAACGACAACATCCCTTAGGTGGGGCGACGCCAATGCCAATGCCAATGCTGACATCGAGTCGGACACCGAGACATAAAGGCTAAATGGAACTTGAATGAGCGCCGAGTGGCACATGCTGCCAGGTGAGGGGTTGTTAGAAGCCATGCTTTGATAGCAGATGGAAATAACTGACAACGCCGGCCAGTGGACGAAGCACTTCAGTCATTTAGCGCTCGTTAAAATATACCCGAATCGCACACGGCTATTCAATTGGAAAACTCGATGGGATTCAATTGAACCGACAAGTGCATAATTACGGAACCAGTGCGACTCAGAACTCTGGAACGGCACCACGCACTCAAAAATGAGAATCTGCCTCTCGAGCTGAGTGGAAGCAACGGGCCATAGTTCCAACCGGTGAATGCTTAAATGAAGGCACGTATAGCAATCTCATCCTATGTCTGATTATTTTTTGGTCTTATCCGACATAATATACTACATTTTAAGTGCTTAAAGAAGATCTGAGTTGATGTCACTTCAACTATCTACAAGTATAAACATTGCTGCTGTTTTAGTTTAGTTATATTTACTTGTATTATATTTGTAAGAGCATCCCATCTTCGCTTTGCTGAAACTAGCTGTCGCAGATTGTCTGATATCCTCATATTGTCGTTGCCCTTGTTCGTGTCGGGAGACTATCAAATGTTGTGACGTCCACGGACATTTTCCTGAAGCTTGACTGAGATGTTGTTTCCGGGCAGCTGTTGGGCCACGGATACACGATCCAATTGGTCTAATTTATATTGGCTTGTTGTTTGTTTCCCTAGTCGACAACAGAGCTATATTTTCTGTATTTATATGCTTGACTAGCGGGTATAATCCGGCCTTGCCCGTGGCACGTATGTTATAAAATCAATGTTCTCAACAAAATTTGATATGATTTTGAAATTGATCGGACGGTAAACACATAACTTTCATACAAACGTTTTCCGCCAATTTACCACTGTTGCGAGTGGAATTTTCCAAATCGCTAAAACACGTATTCATTACATTCTTATGTAGAGCTTTGAAAATAAGTTTGAAGCAAATCGGACACAATTTAAAACTTCGCACAAAATATCTTTGAGTCGCATTCAACCCGAAGAAGTTTGAATTCTGCGAAAAGTGTGAAACACGTCTCAAATGATATTTCTTATAGATCTCTGGAAACGAATTTGAGAGCGAAACGTCACCCACCAAATCTTTGACCCCCATTTCCACCAAGGAGGAACGGATTTTTCGAAAAGTGCAAAGCACCCCTTAAATGAATTTGAACAAAGATCTTTGAAAATAAGTTTGGGGCCGATCGGATGGTAAACAAAAAACTTTTATACATCCGTTCTCCGCCAATTTACCACTGTTGCGGGTCGAATTTCCCAAATCGCTGAAATACGTACTTATTAAGTTCTTATGAAGAGCTTTAAAAATAAGTTTGAAGCAAATCGGACACAACTTAAAACGCCGCCCAAAAAATCTTTAAATCGCATTCCCCCCGAAGAAGTTTGAAATCTGCGAAAAGTGAGAAACACGTCTCAAATGATTTTTCATATAGATCACTGACTAACTGACCGACTGACTGACTGACTGATTGGTGATCAACGCACAGCCCAAACCGTAAGAGCTAGGAAGCTGAAATTTTCACTGTAGTTACCTTATGTGATGTAGGTGCACGTTAAGACGGGGTTTCGGGAAATTCCACTCGCAAGTGTGGAAAAATCGCGAAAAACGTTTGTATGTAACTTTTTTGTTTACCATCCGATCGGCCTCAAACTTATTTTCAAAGATCTTTGTTCAAATTCATTTGAGGGGTGTTTCACACTTTTAGGAAAATCCGCTCCTCCTTGGTGGAAATACAGGCCAAAGATTTGGTGGGTGACGTTTCGCGCTCAAATTCATTTCCAGAGATCTATAAGAAAAATCATTTGATACGTGTTTCACACTTTTCGCAGAATTCAAACTTCTTCGGGGGGAATGCGATTTATAGATTTTTTGGGTGAAGTTTTAAGTTTTGTCCGATTTGCTTCAAACTTATTTTCAAAGCTCTACATAAGAACTTAATAAGTACGTATTTCAGCGATTTAGGAAATTCCACCCGCAACAGTGGTAAATTGGCGGAAAACGTTTGTATGAAAGTTATGTGTTTACCGTCCGATCAGTTTCAAAATCATTTCAAATTTGTTTGAGTACATTGATTTTATAACATACGTGCCAAGGGCAAGAACGGGTTATACCCGCTAGTATACTTATATGTAGATATGGCTTATAAATTACTTTAACAACCTAAGGAATCTCGTGTCTGCCAACAGTCTTTGAACTTTGTTGTGAATAAACATACAGAATAGCAACATCAGGTACTATTAAGACGGCATATCTTTGGCCCCTCCAAAAGTATGGCACCTGGCTGAAGCTGCAGGCAGTCCGTTCGTCCTGCCACTGGAGTAAAGCTCCGCTGCTGTCAACGTGCTGTTGCTTGCTGTGCATGTCTTTGTGGTTTTTCAGGCGCTTAACTATAACAACAGAACTTAACACCTTTTGATCGGCAGGCAGCGGCAAAACACGATGATAGCCGCGCGCACAAATATGTATGCGTATGTGTGTGTGTGTGTGTGTGTGCGTGTAGTTATGGCACAGAATAAATTCCTGTAAGCTTTCTGGAGAGCGCATAACAGCAGCCCGCACACATTCGCGTGGAGCAGCTCGTTATTCATAAACTTAATGCCAAAAAGAGCATAATTTTCATTTGCCTGGTTTTCGGTTTGCTTTACTTTCCCTTTGGAAGGTGGGACCGTCCCCCAACCCCCTTCAATATGTGTATGCAAGTGTATAGGACTAAAGTACACACGGCAAATAAAAGTCAAACATTGAGGCAAAAGCAGCAGTAGCAGCAGCAGCAGCGGCAAAAACACCAATAAACTTGTACTTGTGTGTAGCAGCGGTAAGTGGGAATTATATAAACATATACATCAGTGAGCAAACATTTGCGGACGCACACACAAACACACATTGACATACACACAGCAGCATACCATATAACATACCACATACATAGCTAGCAGCTGGCAGCTGTTGCTGCGCCTTATCAGCGCTCAGATCGACAACGTGCCACATGCAACACGGCGTATGAGCAATATGTATAAAAAAGAGACGCTAAAATACAGATGGCTGCTAAGTAAAATAAGGCGGACAACATATGCTTGTGTGTAAGGGCATGCGTGAGCAAAGTGTGCCTTCTTGGTATTTGTATCGGCATGAAGGTCAAATGAGTTGACAACTAAATCCGGCTCCTTCAAATAGGCCAAAAATCAAGGCCATGAACTACTTCGGGTTCGTGGCATGGCGAATAGGTGTTAGACGACTTTGCTGATAAATTGTACCAAAAACCTGTTTGGCTTTCAATTGATTTTAATAAAACTAGGATTGAATCGTCTTCGAACCAATTCTGAATTGGATTTAAATAGAGCTTTGCCAAATGGCTTCCCTCTCATATGAGACATATCTTAATATTTATGTAAAATATACTTGTACACATATGATTCCAAATTGGGCTTAAGAACACACTGTTATAATATTATGACCAATTTTAAA